TTAGTATTTAATTTATTTTATATTATAATATATTTACTATTACATACCACAAAATTTATTAACTAATAGTTAATTAATAGCGGCACCCAATTATTTTTTTATAGACAGTTTATTGATAAAATCGGTGCACTGAATCATGAATAGTAAGCGGTTAAAAACCGTCCAGTCACATAATTTTTTTAATTTATCAATTTATTTATACAATATTAGCAATGTCATATTAAATAATTTATGTAAAATATACACTACGTCACTACGTCATGTGTAATATAATATTATTTATTTTATAAAAAATAATCAGGGTCGCTAGGAATGGAGTTATGTAGTTACTAGTTAGCCATCATTTTATATGTAGGTATGTAATGTATACAGTTAATACCTTTCATAATATTTTTTGTGGTGTATTTTAGTGAGATACCTATGCCAATATTGCTAATAGTATTGCATGACGCATACATTATTTACTAATTTTAAAAATCTGACTACTGGAATTTCTGACTGAGCTTCGGCATACCTACCTATAAATAGTTCATAAGTAATGACTATATTTATTATATATTATAATAACTGATAATACATGTAATTGAATGGTTGAATATTATATATTCATATATTATGTATGTAACTATATTTTTTGGGTCTTTGAACATCAATCACGTAAAAATTTATATTCTGTCAATATGTATTATGTATTATACAAATTAATTATCTTAATGATAAATACTTATTTATATAATAATTATATCAGTAAAGGAACTCAAATTTAAAAACTGTCAATATATTTTTTGAATAATTAATTAGATACACGCAAATACGGTATCCAATATTTTTCGTTTAGTCAGCAGATCAACTATTATTTTCTTACTACTAGGTTAATTTATAAAACTAATATTATTATTTTTATTTTTTATTTTGATATATAAATATAAAATATAGAATGTATAATTTTTTTATTTAATAAGCATTTCAAGTTTATAAATTGCTCGTATAATACTTATGAATTATGATACTTGTATGTAGTTAAACATAGATTTTGCGATTTACCCCTCAAGTAAGTAAATTTTTATAACATAACGTTGTTAACCTATCGGATGTTAAATGATAAAAACATTTTTATAGAAGTATCGGCTTCAACCTTAAATAAACGCGAGTTGTTATTGATGAAATAACGAAAAAATTACAAAGTAAATAATATTAATATATATTATACATTATACATATATTATAACGAATCAAAAAAAAAATCTAATATAAAGTGTAACCGAGGGTTACTTTTTTTTTATGTAATTTATGTCATATTGATTTATAGCTCATATTCATATTGTGAATTAAGTTTTATAGATTGTATATATTTAAAAGAAAAGATTTGTTATCGGCAACACTCACCATAGAATGTTGGATAAGTTCAATGACATACTAGTGAGGCTAGATTTAGACCTGATTCACCCTTCCCCCAACTGCACATAATAATAAATAGTACCTATATAAACAGTAATTATTACTACTGGGCATTTCGATATATATTTTAACTATATGACATAAGCGCCAAAGATGCAAAAATTATGTATCATTTCGGCCAAAATGTGTAGTACTTACTTAAGCGCCAATCAAATATTACATATCTATTATACCCAATATATGACATAACTGCAAAATATATAAAAAAAAATAAATATTATTTTTACCAATATTAATATTTTATACAAGTATTTCAAAATATTTAAAATTATCAATAGTAAATATAATACAACATACATAAAAATAAATATAATATTTGAACTTTGTTTTTATACGCCTCAATTACATATTATATCATTAATCATTTTTCGTAATAACTAATAACCTATACTTTTGATCATTAAATAAAATGCATGCAATACCTTTATTAGTGTTGGTTTTAACAAAATTCATTTTCGAGTTTAAGTACACTTATGCTTACTAAGTACTATTAATATGTTATAATATAAAACTGCTCAGGGCTCACATCCTATCGTAATTAGATAATAAATTTGTCGATTAAGATTATACGTTTGGGTTTTTGAACAATATATTTCTAAATTTAATATATACATCTAAGATGAAACATACAGCCATACAGGCACGATTAATAAGTAGGTAATTGGTATATGTCTGTTAAATATTAATCGTGGGACACATTCACACAGGTACCTAGGATTTCGGCACTCATATCTTCCACAGTTAATTTTAATTTGTGATTTGCTAATTATTCTGTATAGGTAATTAAAATATAAATAATCATTGATAAGAACTATTTTTATTTTAAATACAGACCAAATATTGTCAATTAATTTACTATTTGTTTTTATTTATGTTTGTATATTTTAGATTGAAACCTGGTTGCGTTTGAAAATATACCGTGAACTTCGATGGTTATAATATGTTATAACTTATAAGTAATAAATTACATTTTTTAGAATTAAACTTCAGTAAAAATTCAATATTTATTTTTAAAATTGAGTTAACACAGAGTTCTTGTATTTTTAAATACTTTTATTTTACTTTATTGAAAAACTAAAATTTACATAAATAAATAAAACTACCTAAAAAGCTTTAAAAAAAGAATATACATTTGTATGAATGTCTTTTATCAATTAAAAACAATTACACATTATAGTTCATATTGTTTATAATAATACATTAATATTTAGTTATAATAATAAGTATACATAGAATACATTTATTCCAACGGGAGAATGTCAAAATACCATACGATTTATATGAGTTTAATTGTTAATTAATTTCACAACCAACTCAAGTAAGTAGGTATACAATTTTCTGATTCGTAAGTGTTTAAATATTAATATAATACATAAATATAACATATGTAAATATTGTTCAACTCTAATTATTACTTAATAAGTTACCTATATATTGGTTATTATAATACAGGTTTCTAGTATTCTTATTTAATAAAATTACCTAAAAATAAAAATTTTATACGCGAATAAGTATTAAATTCGGACATTCGGTTGACTTTAATTGATAAACTTTTATTCGATTGACCATTTTTCCTCAAGTCTAAATTTCGTTGGACTTTTTTTCTGCGATTCGCTATAATATAATATTATGGTAATGGTTGTGATTAATATTGTTAAACGTTCATGAAATCAGTAGTGTATTATATAGGTACAAGGTAGGTATAAAAATAGACAACGGTCGCGTTGGCCGCGATTATACCACGGTAACATCTATAAACTCTTATACGGCAATCGTATATTCGTATGAATCGTATGTAGGTATTCGCCATTTAGAGAATTATGGAAAACTAATTTTCTAGGTCTGTCATCGGTATTGCAATTCACAGTATGGATGAATATCGTTTTCCAACATTCGTTCGAAATGATTGCACAGCTGTCTATGGTCCATTATGCCATTAATTGGTGAGTGGGGTGCGGGTAACTAGGTACGATATTTTTCGTTGGCTAGTCCACTCAGTCTTAACTCTTATTCATATATCTATTTTCTTAGGAAAACGTTCTCATCCGTTTCTCAACAATTCTCAATCAATCGTCTTCGTGTCATCACCATTTGTGAAGTACAGGCGATACGAGTTTAGGTATTTTACTATTGTTGTATACCGTACCTGACATTGCCTAGGTTCCCGATGAAATGTATTATCCGTTTTCTGCGGATTTGATACTTGTTGGAGGCGTCAAGGTACACGTCATATTATCTGAAACTAGATGGTCCACTCTAGTCTAGAGTCTAGATCCTGTCCCGCGAGAAATCATACCGCTCGAAAACGAAAACCAGTCAGCTTTGCGCCTACCTCACCAAATTCTTATAAAATTTGGATGCATGAAGGGGATACAATGGCCCAGGCGGTTGGACGTATTTCATTATACATGCGCAAATCTGGCATGATCTCTAGTGAGGCAGACTTTAGCGAAGACGGAAGAATGTAAACAAGTCTGTATGTAGTCCGTATAGGTGCGTACACATAAAATTATTAAACATTTCTTTTTTTGGGGTGGGGTTATAATAGTACATTTTCATACTTATACATGTAATTTGTTGTTTATCGACACTAATTGCTTTCACTCTATTATACTTTTTAAATTTTTTCGAAATTTCGAAAGGGGAACGTCTAAAACCAGTAAAACTTCTATCTTGTGTATGCGCTTAATAGTTCTTAAGATGCTCATCGATCACTTATTATATAGTTTCCTCAAAAGAAAAGACCCGTTCTACATGCCTTTACAATGGTTATTCAGAATGTATTGTATTGTTTATGCATTGATATTATGATATGTATAAACCATGACTCTATTTAATTCAAATAAGACGTACCTATGTGGAGTCGTCGAATTACAAGAACCGTCACAATTGGTTGATTAAAAATCCTTCACTTGACCTATTCTTTTTTTATGTTACATCTATAAATGGAATAATTACAAAAACGTAGGTATTTAATTTGAAGTCATAGATCACTCGAATTCGTCTACTACTGGTTAGGTTAGTGGTAGTAAATTTGCGATATTTAAAAAAATACATTATATATTTTAATTAATAAAGTTTTAAATGTTGATATTCTTGTACTTTAAATTATCTTTGTTGAGTTTGTCGGTTTTGTCTTATGATATAAAACGACTTGAATAAAAAATGTAAATTGACTATAAATAGCTCAATACTAACTTTTATTAATCATTGTTCATTACTTTATAGTCAATGACATCGCCAATATGTACATATTTTACAATCATCTAATATTCTTATAATCTAATCTTTACATTTTGACAAAACTTGCATACTAATATACAATATGTTAGTTTAATAGGTAGATATGCAAATTGTATACCAAAATACATATTTTTAATTACACTATATTTTATAATAATAATTATCTTTTATCCTTTCAAATTAGAAATAGCATTATTAGTAGGTAACAAAATATATTATTTTTAATTTTATTACTAAGGATCACAGTATAAATATTATTTAACAAAACAACCAAAATAAAATTAATAATACTGTTGGAATTAAATATTCATTACTATTGAATTCTACAAATTATAATTAAATATACTTATATAATAGACTTTATTTTTTGTTATCAGTTGTCTTAGATGTAGACTGGCCTTCTTTATCACCTCCAAAGTAATTATATTTAATCTTCAATCTTTCGCGAATAAGGAGAGCTCTTACTAATCGTTTCCAATTACCATAAACTCTATCTTCATATCTTTTTTGCTCTCGCTTACGACTTTCCTCAATTTCTTGGTTCCATGCATCTATTAAAGTGTCTTTAAATTCTTGACATACTACAAAACCGTCATTTACTGGGTGGGATCCACCTGCATGAAAATCAAAACCTACAACTGCAGGAGCACAATCAATGTTTAGTTTTTTTGCAATACGCAGTAACCCAGGAACTAAAATCAAAAACAACAAAAAATTAATATGTTGAACTGTTATAAACAACAACTTAAATAGTTAAATTAGTCTTATTTTTATACATACGTTGAAGATGAACGGTTCCTATTGGTAACATGCAAGGTTTAAACAAATCAACATTGCCATAACAATTTCTAGGAACTTGACCATTAGTAGCAGTTGGAGGACTGTAGGGTTCAGTTTGCCAAAAACCAAACAATTCTAATGGTGGAGGATCTGTTCGCACACCATTCTGTAATACATATAATTATTAATAAATCAGGATGATAATATTAGACATAAGTAACTGACCCGATCAAACCTAGGACGGGCTTTAACTTGTTTATAAGATTTTTCCCCCATTTTAACTACACGGGCTTCTTTTAACCAATTTTCTCTACCATTAAGTTCATGAACATATTCTCGTAAATAAACTGGTTCATTTCTAACATATCCAACAATTGGTGGATCTGGCGGATAAATGGCTTGAAATTTTAGCAAATGTCTTGATAGGGCATACAATGGATGATTTTTATACCTTTAACAGACATTTTAATAAAAGTAAACGTAATAAACATAAATAATTGTGCTTGTATTAAGGTTTAAATAAATCATTATTATTAAACTAACTCTGAAACTGTTTTAGGTAATGGTATTTCTTCTAATTGTTTATTTAGTTCTTCATCCTCCTCACGTTCCCTAGCTGACCCCGTGGGAGTGTAAGGTCGTAAAGTAGTTTTCCACCATTTAGGATCCACGCGAATTTTTCGTGTTAGAGTATGAAAATATGGATCATATCGCTTTGTAACATCTTTGATACTATTGTCGTTATACCAAGCCAAAACATAACGCATAGGATGAGATGTACCATTCTATAAAAAATAAAATATAAATTTGTAAAGTTAACTGTAAAAAATAAAATATTATAAATTCTACAAGCAAAAAATATTCCATTATATATTAAATAGTAAATCTTATAGTTATATACAATTTATAATTCAACTAACATATATTTCTTTGATGCAATGAATACGCTGGCCTATAACATCCACACAAAACCATTTTTCTTCCATTTCCAGGAATACTTCCACCCAAAAATCATTTTTTACTTTTTTTTTAGTAACTGTTTCATTATTCTGCATTAAATGGTCTTCTTCATCAGTTGAAAGAACACGGCGATCAATTTTTTCACTTATCAAAGATTTTTTTTTTATTTCTTTTTTTTTTGTGTTTAACTGATTTTAATTTTTTTAAGTCAGCTTTTTCTAAACCAGATTGAGCTTTGTTTGATATTTTATTAAAATACTCAGATTTAGCACTGTTTTTGCTTTTTACAAAAATATCATCTTCTTTATCACTTGAAGAATTATTTTCATACATAATTTTATTCACTTTAGGGTTTTTTTTTTCATCTATTTTATTACTTTTAATTTCAAGATCTTTTTTATTTTTTTTAAGTTTACTTGATGTTTTCTTGAAATATTCTGATTTTGATGAAGTTTTTTTTTTATTATCTACATTTGCTTTACTAGTAGATGGTTTCAAATGATCATCCTCTATTATAGGACCCAACAATTGTTCAGAACTTGGTTTGATTGAGACAACATTTAAATTAATCACTAACCTTACATTCAATCCTAATGATCTTAAAAAAGAAATAAACATTGAAATAAGTTCATATCTTGTTTTAGCTTCACATTTTGAAAAGTTATCAACTAAAGATAATACATTTATTTCACATAATGGATCAGTTTTTGAAGTTAATTTTATTGTTTTAGAAAACCATTTTATAAAATTTTCTAAATAATTCAAATCACACTGCTTTGGAGGATATGCTTTTTTAGAAGGTACTAGAGATAATGCTGAACCCATAACCTCTGGTGAATTAAGAACACTGTTCAAATTATTACCATAAGAAATCCATAAAAGTAAATTTACTTTATGAATTAAAACTTGAGTATCTTTACATATTGAATTCATACGTCTCCTAAGAATATTTTCCATATCTTGACCTTTTTTACACTTTATATCATTTGGAAGTTTAACAGTGATTTCAACCGTTTCAGGAATAGTATAGTCATCATTACGTTTCATTTCTTCTTTCAAAGTATCATCAACATTTTTTAATACAGTTCCTAAATTAACTCCTTCTCCTACAGATAAGATTTTAGCAACATCCATATTATCATAAAGACTATTTTCTACCGAAGTGTCAAAAGTCTCAGATTTTACATTACTTTTGGGAAGTTCTGTAGAATCTTGAGGTTTTGAAAGAGTGGTGAAATCAAAATTTGTTTGACAAACATTTTCATCAACTTCACTTTCAGTATCAGACTGTTCCAATGTTTTCACATTGGGCTTGATACAATCTTGATCATCATTATCGCTATCAGATTCTGATAAATTTAAAGTACAAGAATTTTTAATGAAAGTATTACAAGTTTCAACTAACTCATCATCAGAATTGTTATCTTCAGTTGATGAATCAATAACAGAAACTTCTAGTTGTTGACCACGTTTACGTTTGATTGGTGGTTCACAAGAATTATTTTCAACAGTTTCTTTTGACTTACATGTACGTTTTGATCTGCGCAACATGATAATGGATTGGATCTATAAATAAAAATTTAAATTGAGATAATTTGAAAGCAGGTTAAGATATAGTGTTTTTTTTTTAAATATATTTAAAAAATTTAAATCAAAACTCTTTTTTCATTATATTTTTAAACATTGATTTATATTTGTAATAGTTTTGAAAGTCATTAAATTTAATATAACTCTATAAAAATATTTACCTGATCCAAATAAATAAATAAATAAATAAATAAAAAACGAACAGATATGGAACAATTATTTCATGTTTTAATTGAGAATTTGAAAAATAAATCAACAATTCACGAGCTAAGTAAGTAGATGTTCAGTAATGGAGTTAATGCGGTGGTAGACGGTAGTGTATACTGTATAATAGTGTATAATGTACTATTTAGACTGTAAAAATGTTAAGTATAGATCAACTAGATCAAAAACATTTATTTTGAATATTTTATCTAAAACGTGTTTATTTATTTATACAAGATAAAACTAAAAATTACAGAGAACATTATCATGAACAATGCAAAGTGGTTTAAAATTATCACATCCTCCAGAATGCGCTTCGAACAGTAGTATATCGTTTTTACATATTATACAGTATAACATTTTTATAATTTTAATCTAATTGGTTTAATTTATGATTTTTATAAATAATTACTTTGATCCGTTTTATGATCAAATTGTCTTAAATCCGGTTAATATATTTCTAAGAATTTTCAATTTCTAAATTAAGAGATATAATTGTTTTAAGAAAAAACTTTCTTTTTTTTAATTTTAAGTATTATAGTGATGATTATGGTGATTAATGTTTACTGATATGATAAGACTGATAACAGCATTCGATCCACGTGCTTTTAACTTGCCGCTTCTTACTAATTACCACTAATGTAGTGTAAACTGTAAAGTGTAAAATATGAATTATGATCAATGAATAATGATAGCCATACATTCATGATTCATAGTTATTGTTAGTAGTTAATTTATGTTGTTTAGCTCAACCGTAAAATTTTACATTATTATTTTTGTCTGACAAAATACGTATTCATTATATTGTTTATCTTGCTATTTATAATGAGATTCAATTACAAGGTACAACTCTTTAAAATAGTCTAATATTATAATATTAATAATCTTTTTAACTTTATTATTATTTTTTAAAATTTAGTTTTCCAACGTTCTTGGAACTGTTTACCGTGAAGGAAATTTGACTTTCACACCCGATGGAAATTCTGTCATCAGTCCAGTGGGAAATCGGATATCAAAATTTGATCTGAAAAAGTATAAACCTTTATATTTCTTTAATTGTGTTTCTAAGAATGGCATGTAAGTTGTATTTTATTTTAGTAATACATCATTTACATTACCAGTGGAAAGCTCACACAATTATGAACAAATAGCTCTATCGCCAGATGGCAATCTTTTATTTGCTGTAAACGAAGGTATTGAAAATAACTTTGAAAACCTAGAAAGTTGCTTATATTTTAATTTTAATAACTGTATCTAGTCGGAGAAGCGGATTTAATCAGTTTAATAAGCAATAGAGTAATTCACAAGTACCGTTTCAATGAACGAGTGCTTCACCTGAGATTTAGTCCTGATGGAAAACATATAGCTGCTTGTAAGCTCAATAAAAGTAAGTTATCTTTTTGATTTGAGGGAATATATTTACTTTAAAAATTTATATGCGTAAAGTTTGAATAGTAATAATATTGATTTGTTTTCAGTTTTTATATTACAAACACCGGGTCATTTTATTGGACAATTCAATCAGTTTGCATTGGAACGAGTTTTCAGTGATATTCTTGGAGATACCACGTATGTTGCATGGACTGACGATTCAAGGTATATCATACTATATAAATGTTTATATGTTTAGTATTTACAAATATATTATTTTATATTTATTAATCGTCTAATTTTTAATACTTAATATATTGGTTATCTTAGTAATTATAGCAAAAATGTTGGATTCAAAAAATCTTATTACAAATTGCTAATTATTGATAGCATTAAGTATATTTCAATAATTTTTTATCACAACTTTATATTTATCAATTTTGGTATGTTCGCTTGAAGTATTTAACAGCAGTGTGCTGTCCTAATAAAAACCTACCTCTGTGTAACCATAACCCTACTTATATTGTACACTTTATAAAAGTTATAACACTTAACATATTCTTTTAATTTTTCAGTATTTTTGCAGTGGGCAGTAAAGATGCTACTGTAAGGCTTTATACAATAGGAAATTACTCAAATTTTCGACCATATTCGTTAACTGGACATCCTGATACTATAGTTGGGATATTTTTTGAAGAAAATTCACTGGACTTAATGGTTGTCACTCGGTATATTATGAATTAGATTTTAAATTATTTCATTAACTAGGTCAATTATTTAAATAATTTTAATTACAGAAATGGTCATTTATCTGTTTGGCAATGTTCACTATCCTTAAATCAAATGACTACTGTTGAATCAACCAATAATAAACGATTAAAATTGAATGACGATGAAGAAGATGAAATTGATTTATCCAAAGGAGAAGACAGAGAACGTTATATTATTAATAAAGAAGGTACCTTCTACTCATAAAAATATTATTTCAATTTAATTATTTTGTGTTTATAATATTTCAGAAAAACAAAATAAAAAGCAATTACTTTTAGATAATAAAAATTTATTGAGTTACCATAAATTATCAACACATTATCTTAATGATTTTATAAAAGATGAGCATAACAATTTGAAAATGACTGCTGCTGATTATCATAAAAAGGTCAAAATCCTTGTAACTGGCTTCTCAAATGGATCATTTTTAATTTTTGAAACTGTTGGAAAAACACTTATTCATTCTTTAAAGTTTGTTTAACTTCTGTTTTATTTTTAGATGTTATTAATTAATTTACGCTGTTAGTATTTCAGATACCAGTATTAGTACAATAGTGTTGAATAATGCTGGTGATTGGATTGCAATTGGCTGTAAAGGACATGGCCAATTATTGGTTTGGGAATGGCAAAGTGAAACATATGTTATGAAACAACAAGCGCATGGTTCTGAAGTATCTTGTTTGTCATACTCAGCTGACTCTATATACATAGCCACTGGTGGCGAAGATGGAAAAGTAATTTATTAATAAAATAAGAGGATATAATAACAACTCATAGATATATCTCATCCATCTCAATTTCCCATTAGATATTTTTTTAAGATACTTAAATATTAGTCTTTCAAATTTTTATTAATATAGTAAAATATATATTATAAAATCAATACTAATATTGCTTAAGATATTTAGTAAATTTCAATAATTTTAAATGAAAATAGATATGTACCTTATAGCCATTATTTATGTATAATTAGTATGAGATAATATAGTATTCATAATTATTATAAACAAAACTTGAAAGAATTAAATTTTTAAATCATTTCTAAAATATTGTAATAAATAACAATTCAATTATGTCAATAATTATAATCATATATGTAACACTAAACTAGAATTTGCTCTGCCATATACATTTTAAACATACCCATTTTATACATTTAAACTACATGCTTTCAAGAATTTTGATTTTAAAAAAAATATGTGCTTTAAAAATAAATTTAAATTAAAAAATTTTTCAAAAAAAATGAAATTGACTTTGTCAAATATTTCCATTTTTCTGTTATTTTTTCTTAATTATTTAATATTTTCTAAATATTTAATTAGTTATAATGTTGTTAATTACTTATTATAGAATTTTGAGCATATGTGTTATTTAAAAAAATAAAATTTTAAATTAATTGACAAATGTATTAGCTTTTAAAAATAAGTAGATAATAAATTTTTTAATTTAATTATTATTTATTTATAAATAATGTAAATGTATATACAATCATATATTTTAATATTATTATTTAATATAAATTTATGAGTCATTTTAAATGTTGCATAAATATATTTTCAATATATTAACATATGTAATAAAACATAATTGATTCCTATATCATATTTTGTTAGTGATAAACTATAGAGATGTAACATAATTTCATGTTAACTATTTTTGTTGTGTTCGATTTACATATTATTAATTATTATATTAATATTTTCTATTTATTGTTATTGTTAGAGTATAATATAATACATGCATGTCAAATATAAATGTTCTATATTATATATCTGTGATAGAAACAATTATTATGCACATCATATTCTCTTAAAATTAATTTATATTTTATTTTTAGGTGAAATTATGGAATAATCAATCAGGATTTTGCTTTGTTACGTTTGTAGAACATACAAGTACTGTTACTGACATAGTATTCGCTCCCAACAAAAAATTTGTCATATCTGCATCTCTGGATGGTACAGTTCGTGCTTTTGATCTTACAAGGTAAAAATATATTTATCAATAATTTTTTTCTACCTATTACTATATATTTTTTTTTTAGATACCGCAACTTCAAAACATTTGTGTCCCCTCGACCTGTGCAATTTAGTTGTGTATCTATTGACTCTACTGGAGAGTTTATCGCTGCTGGTGGACAAGATGTTTTTGAAGCATATCTGTGGTCCATGAAAATTGGCAAACTTTTAGAAGTATTCTCATTTAAAATACTGAAAACCAAATTCTTAAAAGCAAGTAATTTAATGATATTATTTTAGGTTTTGTCAGGACACGAAGGACCAATAGTAAGCTTAGCATTTAGTCCCATAATTTCTAGTACTACACTAGTAACTGCTAGTTGGGATAAAACATTGCGCATTTGGAATGCTGTAGAAAATGCGTCTGATCATGAAACTATACAACTCTTTGCTGATGGTGATTAATAAATTAATCAGGGTATTATATAAAATAAGTATTTATAGATTTTATGTTTATATTATCTAGGTTTATGTGTTGCTTTTCGTCCTGATGGAAAAGAAGTAGTTGTTGCTACATTAGATGGTCAATTATTATTTTTTGATGTGCGTACTTCAACTCAAGTGGCAAGCATTGAGGGTAGAAATGATCTTGGAAGTGGTCGAACAGATACAGATCTCATCACAGCTAAAAAAAATCTTCAAGCAAAGTATAACAATTTTCTTTTATATAATTAAATATTGATCAATAATCAGTTATCTAGGTATGTGCAGAATTGGTCTGATCACTGCTCAGAAATTTACTTGAAATCCATTTTCTATCATTCTGCAACAAGAAAAGATTGATTTGGGAGGTTCTAAGGATTTAATTATGT